CTCGGGGCGCCCCAGACGGGCAGACTTGGATTCACACCCTGCTCCGTGGATAGGCCGTCCGGTCCATCGGATGGCCCAGGGGAATTAGCTCACCTCGGAATCGGTGAAGCTAAGCAGGGGCCACCCTGGTTAGTATTTGGATGGGAGAGCAGAGCAGACCAGACCAGAAAACCTGCGGGGGTCCCGACGCAAAGGCAGCCAAGGGAGCAAACCGCCTCCGAATGTCTCTTGCCCTGAAAACCCAACCGGGTGTCGCCGTAAACCGGCTGAGACTTGAGGGTACTTTCCGGCCCGGCGGCCACTTTCCCTCTGGATTTTGCCAGTTCACAGGATAAAATCCAGTTGGAAAGTGCACTGAAAGGAGGAGGAGGAGGAGGAGGAGATTGGGTTTATACCCCGCCCTTCACTACCCGAGGGAGTCTCAGAGCGGTTTACAATCCCCTTCCCCTCCCCACAACGGACACCCTGTGAGGTAGGTGGGGCTGAGAGAGCTCTCCCGAGAACTGCTCCTGAGAGAACAGCTCTGAAAGAATTTATGACTGACCCGAGGTCACACCAGCAGCTGCAAGTGGAGGGGTGGGGAATCAAACCCGATTCTCCCAGATTAGAGGCAGCGCTCTTAACCACTACACCACACTGTCTCTCGAGAGGGGCAAGGTGCCTTGCTGCAGGCTGCTGTTGGATATTACAAGTTAAAATTACACGCAGTATATCTGGGGTTAAATGTTTGTTTGTGTTGTCACAGGAAGTCACATGTGCTTCATGTAACCAATGTTAGTTTAGGACTACAAGCCCCGGAGAATTCTCCCTGATCTAGGAGTTTCATTGGAATTAAAGTGTCAAAGTGTTTCAGCATTTTATGGCTCCTCTTCCTGTCTTTGTTTGGAGTTCTGAAGCAGAAAGAAGAGCAGCCATTATCACTCTTCTAGTCTTGTCTTTTGTAGTGTAAAGATGTAAGGAATTTAGCTCTGTTGTTATTTTCATTCCAGTTACCCTTCCCTATGCTAGAATGTAGTAAAAACTTTCTATTTTAAACGCACATGGACTCTGAGTCTGAATTATTTTACTCTGGCACTTCTAAGCTATTTTATCTCTGCTAAAAACCAATTTTTAAAACCCAACAGCTGCTCTCCTGCCTGGGCTGCGGTCCTGCACACTTTAGGACGCTTCAGGGCCAGGCCCTTCGCCCTCGGGACTGCAGGCCCAGACGTCAGCAAAGCGGTAGAGAGCCTCCACCACGTGCTTAGCCCATCAGCCCTCTCGCTTCCTCCTGCCTGACTTGGGTGTGTGTGTTTCCTTTCTAGATTGCCCTGGTCTCCAGCGTGGCTGCTGCTGCTACTTGTCGCGCCTTGATCGCAAGGGAAAACAGGCCCTTCGCACTGAGGCAAGGGTCAGGCGGGAGCCCAAGGCTGCTGGTCCATCACACCTGCCATTTTTATTATTCCTTTATTTAAAGAAAGGGAGAGGACCAATGGCATCCTCCTCCCCCCTTCCTCCGTGTAGCCCTCACAACAAACTGCCCTGCGAGGCCGATTGGGGGGGGGGGGGTAGCCCTGTTGGCCTGCAGTAGAAGAGCTGGGTTCGAGAGTCCAGCAGCAGCAGACCAAAACAAGATTTTCAGGGCATTCTTAACTTTTATTTATTTACATCCTTTGGAGTCCATCTTTCTGCCTTGGACTCCAGGCGGATTACACAGCATGTGAGCTTTTCAGAGTCAAGGCTCCCTTCCTTAGACCTGATACCCGCACCCGGGAAATCTTGTTGGTCTCTAAGATGCTACTGGACCCGCAACTCGCTCCTGAGAGGTCGGTTAGGCAGAGAAGCCCAGGGGCTGATCCGAGTGAGGATTCGAACCGGAGTCTCCCAGGCTCTCCTCCAGAATTCCAACCGCTACACTCGGCTGGCTCTCACCCCCAATGCCACATCCCTCAGTCTTATTTCCCAGGAAATGTGTACATAGGATTGCTAGTTGAAAGATGGTGAAGGCCAAACAACGGGCACCTGCATTCTGGAGAACCTCAACAGCTTTCGCATAGCGGGGGAGCAGTGCTCCCTCTAAGCTGAGTTAATGTGAGCTTGCTCACAGTTTTCTAGCCTCCGGCTCACACATTTTTGTCTCAGCTCAGGAAGGAGGGCTCCCGAGCACACTAATTTGTGCAGTAACCCAATCCCTCGCTCACAAATTCAATGCCAGCAGCTCACAAAGCAGAATTTTTCCTCACAAGACTCCACAGCTCAGAGGGAGCATTGCCAGGGAGATGAAAGTTTCCACCGATCTCAAACAGTCTGATCGCAAACAGCTTTCTCTCGGGCTGGTGTGGTGGAGGGAGAGCCCAAAAAGAGATCAAGGAGCCGACTCACCTACCCGAAACCCATTAGGCTGGGCGGGGGTGGGGACGGGACATCAACGCCACTGATTTCCAAGCAAAGTCAAGAGCTGGCCAGAGCAGTGGCCCCGGCGCCCCTCCCACCTTCTGACTGGAATACAAAAACTCAGACCCCCATTCCTGAGGAAGGGAGCTTTGTGCTTGGCCCTCGAAAGCTTGTTCCCTGGAAACCTTGTTGGTCTCTGAAGTGCTCCTGGACTTGGATTTAGCTGTTCTGTGCTGTAGCCACTGTGTTTTGAAGGGCAGTTGTCAGTCTTTCCCCCCCCACACACACACACCAGTCTGGATGGCTTAGGAAGGGAAATGCTCCCCCAAAAGGAAAGAATCTTCGTGTCAACATAATTAGAAGTAGACCCCTCGTATGTCTGTAAGACTAGCAGAAAACTTTTGTGGAGCTCTTTACAAAAAAATAAATTAAAAATACAAATAAATCTTAGAGGGTCTTTCTAGAGACCCTTCTGGAAGAGGTACAGTAGCATAGATCCCCCGCCCCCCGGCAGGTTCCGCATACATGGATAAAATGCTACATTCCGGTCAGCGGCTGCCCGGCTCAGGACCGATTCCGAGGGGATCTCTCGGGACTCGCATGGGACCAGAGAGCCGGTGTCCCAGACTCTCAGCAATTTAGCCAGGAAGCACAACAGAATCTGTCTCCAACACGGACCTCTCACGCTGCAGACTTAACCCGGAGCTAAATATCTCTTTTACTTCTGTAAACACGTCTATCTGCCCTTGAAAATAACTCTGCAAAACTCCGGTGTATATTCCTGAGTAAACACGCCGAGGATCGAACTGCACAACCGGACCACTTCTGCAAAACCGAGTGCACGGCCCCGATTCTAGACGCACTTGCGTCTTAGAGTCAGTTCCGCCGAGATCGATGGAACTTCATTCCAAGTACGGCTAAGCGACCTAAAAAATCCATATTTAGAAAGCAAGTCCCGTTGGGATCAATAGGACTCGAGCGCAGCCCCCAGTTTTGCTGGCTGCGATCCTGCACACGCTTACTCCCGTGGAAGTCCGCGAGATTTGCACAGGACTAAGTCTGGTTGCGTATGTGCAGGATCACACGCCCAGGGTGTAGGACACAGATTTCACACACACACACACCCGCCCAGCTCTCCGCCCCAGGAGGCGGGTGACCATAAGAGCAAAGGCCGTTCGCCTCATTCTGCTTCTCCTGACGTCATGCAAAGCGTCGAACCGCTCGGTCTGGGCAGGGGGTCCAAACCCCGAGGCGGGAGCCAAATGGCATTTGGTGGCCCGACCCCCCCCCCCACACACACACACACGCTCGAATGGCGCGGGGGATTCTTCGCAACCCCTCCTCCCCCCCGCCGTACTTGCCTGCTGAAAGGGCATCCGCAAAGCGCCCACGTTCACGTAGGGGGCCACTCGGCACGCTTCGAACTGACTGGCTGCTCCGATGAGGACCCCTGGAAGGAACAAGAAGCGGGTCATCGTCGGGGGACCTGGGCCAAAAGAGTCTGCTGGGAAGTGCGCGAGGGGCGCGGATCTGAGCTGGGTGGGTGAGACCCTTCCAGACACGGTGTTGAAGAGGAGCAAGTTGGTCCGGAGGGGACCTCAGGAGGATGACGACGACGCCTTGTGCCTGGGACTGGGGGAGGGGGGAGGGAATCTACCGGTAAGGGTGCAGCTCTATGCAAAGCTGTGTTAAATGCACCAAGTTGCTTCAGACTTATGGCGACCTTTGAACTAATGGCCTCCAAAACGTCCTGCCATTGACAGCCTTGCTCCGGTCTTGCAAACCGAGAGCCCTCGTGGCTTCCTCGAGTGAGTCCATCCATCTCACCTTGGGTCTCCCTCTTTCCCTGCGGCCTTCAACTTTTCCTAGCCTAATTGTCTTTTCCTGTGACTCTTGTCTTCTCATAAGGTGACCAAAGTTTACCCAAACTGCTTTCACACGTGTTGGATGATGCATTTTGAATATGCTTTAGTGATCGTTTGCAACTGGGATTTTCCTGCGTGAAAGTGGATTGGAGGGACAATATCCAACGTGTGTGAGAGCCGTTCCAGAGTTTCTCCAGACTAAGTTTGTTGATTTCAAGGGGTTTATATTAGGGAGTAACTCTGCATAGAATTCCGCCGCCGGGCTCGCGGAGTAATTGCTGGTCAATTTCACCTACCTTTGTGTAGCTGATTCTCTTGCTTTCGGCATTTAGCTCTTCTGTTCTGAAACCACACCTAGGGAAACAGGGAGAAAACGGGCTCAGTACAAAGCCGCCTCTCTATCTATCCAGCTCTTGGCCACCCTTCCCCCTGGCAGACTTTTGCAATCCCCCCCCCTTCCCCCCGCCGCCGCCGCCGCCGCGTTTGGGGCTATGTGACAGAAGGCAGCTTTCTGCCCGTCTTGGAAGTCCCAGCAGCACTATCAGGACAAACAGGCTACAGGCCCGGTTTGTGGGCTTCCCTGAAGAAACTGTTCAGACCCTGCTGGTGGAGACAACCACGCTGACGATCCGAGATGGGGATGATCCAGCAGTCTGTGCCCGAAGAGGAAAGACAAATGGCGCCCTTTAGGGATTCTCTATTAATCATCCCCTTGGCAGTACCTAACTTCTGTTTTATGGGTGTTCAGAAAGTAACCGTTTGGGGACACACTCCTTCCTTCCTTCCTTCCTTCCTTCCTTCGTTACGTCCTTCCCAATCTGCCTATCTATCCTCATGTACCTTCCCTCCTTCCTTCCTTCCTTCCTTCCTTCCTTCCTTCGAAAGGTGTCAACCCATCCCCAAATCTTGCCTTGTGAATACAGGGTATCAGTTCATGCAGAGAAACTCCAAATTCCTTTTTTTTTTGAGGGGGGAAGTGGGTATCCAGGTTTTAGGGTTCCCCATGAACCAGGGGACCTTTTGGGACTCCACCTGTACCCCACTGCAGAGCCGCAGCTCATCGTGGAGATGCCGTCACGGTTTACGTGTCCCTCCCCTCCCCTTGAACGACTCCGTACACCAGATAGGCCTATTTCAGTAAGTAGCCCTGCTGGTCCGAGGTAGAAAAGCTCGGTCTGAGTCCAGGGAGCACCTTAGAGACCAATAAGAGCTGGCCTGGTGATGACCCCCAGACATTTCTGCAGGGAGTGACTCTCGCTTCCTCCCTCGCTCTCTAGATCCAAACCGATCTAGACCAAAATGTTAATCGGCCTCCCTCTTCTTTCCCTGTGGGATGGAACTGGCTTCCCCGGGGTGCAAAGCGAAGCTTCTGCGCGTTCACCACGGTCCAGTAGCAGATTACTCCCAAGTAAGCGTCCCAGGGGTTGCAGTCTTTCTGGGAAGTTATCAGTGAAATCGATTGGATGGGCACTCTTTTCCCCTGCCCTTCTTCATTTTAACTGCTATTGTTTGCAGCGGTGGGAGAAACTTTCAACGAGAGGTTGGCTTTTCTCCGAAATCAAAGGCGTCGAAACGGCTGGATCGACCAGGAGGCCGCAAGTATGTGCAGGGTTGCCATCCTAGACTGCATTTCTTGGGGAGGAGGAGATCTTACTGGGAGGTAGTTCCTCGAAGCCAATGGACTGCTCAAGTGTAAGCGCACTTGCACGGTTTCCACGATCCTCAGTTGTGGGCCCCAGTATTCGGAACTGGGCTAATTGGCGACTAACTTTCCGCGTCCCACTTAGAATCTGAGACTTAAAAGAGCGCCCCTTTTGGAAGGGGACAGTTGCCGCCTGTTCCGCTTTGTAGTCAATTACTTTCTCGGGCTCCCTTTCATCTTGGGCCAATCGAATGATCCCCCTCCCGAGCTGCCTCCCCCCCCCACCTTTCCCGGCTATCTAATGCTTAAAAAAAAAAAGACTCGTGATAAAGGGAGTTCAGATGTTTGCGCAAGAAGACCCGAGAAGAATGCGCTCATTAAAAGCCTGTAATATTAATTAGCTTTATCTTCAAGAAAAACGAAAACACCAAAGCTTTTAATGACTCACTTTTTGGGGGGGTAATTACTGTCATAAAAGCGTCACTACAAAGAAGTTGAGAAATTCTCTGTTCCTCTGTGCAGTGGAGTGTAACACAGAAGCGGAATAATTGTCTCATTATTATGATAATCTAATTTGCTCCCATAGAAAAAAAGAGAGAGAGAGAGAGACAGAGAGAGAGAGAGAGAACTCCGAGCCAGGCAAGGGGATACTTTGCCGGCTGGAAAGAGGGAAAAGTTTGAGATCAGCAATAAGAACTTGGGCCCTGTTTCCTTAGAACAGAAGAGCTAAAGCTTTGGACCCCTCCCTGATCTGGGCATGCTCAGAAGTAAACCCCACTGAGTATGATGGGACTTACTTGGGAGTAATGGCCGTTGGCCTGCCAGTAAACAGGTTAGTCCTGTTAATTTCTAGCGCTTCGCGTCTTTCCCATTTTAATCAATGGGACTCTGCGAGCACAGTCCTAAACGAACCTCTTCAGAACTCCCCCCCCCCCAACGGGGCTTTACTCCCAGGGAAGATGAAATGCTTGACATCGACTAGATCTATTTTTGGGTGGGAGGGGGAGAAAGGGGTGACCTCGAGAACTGTCTCAAAGATCGGACGAAGTGATCTTCCCCCTGGGGAAGATAAAAAACTACAGGGTGGACAGAGTTTATTGGGATTTGGTTGAAGACGACGACGTATCCATTCCTATAAATGTGTATCGCCTAATTTATTGCCATGTAGTCCTAGACATGTTTACTCAGAACTAAGTTTCCGTTCAATGAGATTGACCCCCTGGTAAGTATTCCAGGGTAGATTCCTAATGCACAAAAGACAGGAGCAGTGCAATCCTGTGCAGAGCTGAACAGTTCGTTTATTGGGTTAGGCTGCTGGAGTAACTCGGCACAGGAGGGGCCTCTGTTGCAGGACGGCACACAGCGAATGTTCTGAGGCTCACTGGGAACTCCCTCGACCTAACAACGCTTAGGACCGCGGAAGTACGATCTTAGTCCCAAAAAGGTACCGTGACGTTTTTTGGAATGGACTTCACGATCGAGCTAAAGGCATAGGATCGGACTGCACGCCTGTTTGCTTAGAAATAAACCCCACTGCCTACAACCGGAGAAAAAAGTAAGTGCACCGAGGCAACCTACGTTTGCAGGACGTTCCCCAGAAAGCGGTGGGGTTTGCTTCTAGGGAAACGTGCTCAGGATAGGGCCCGTTTAAGTAAACATGAATAAAGCCGTGCTGTTATTAGGTCCAAGGTCCTAAACATAATTACTTGGAAGTAAATGCCATTTTGGGGGGGGGGGGGGTCCGAAGGTATTTACTTCCGAGTAGGCACGGGTTTCCAGCCTGCCTCGCCAGACCTTTTTCCAAGCTCTTCTGCCTCAGAGATGTCACCATCTGCCAATGAGAGGCAGCGAGGCAGCGTTTGAAACAAAATCGCTGCAGAGCATTTCTGGGGGGCATTTAAAAGGAAGGAGACTATAATCTATGTAAATCTCTGACGGTGATTCTGTATGGATTATGCTGGGCGGCAGTTATTCTTTTGTTGGGCCAAACAAACCTCCCTCCGTAGGAATCACCGCCTTTTAATTCTCTCCCCCCCCCCCTCCACAGACCAGTTGGGTGACCGAGAGGGCTTTTTTGTTTAGAGCGGCCAAGCTAAATCGGTGGCCGCCTAGAAAGCAGAAAAGCAGAGACAAGGGGGTTTTTTGGTGTTTTTTTTTAAAGAAAGGCTCTTTTTCTCTAGGCGGGGATGTCTTTCAGAAATACGACGATATTCGCCTCTTCCCTCCTTTTGGAAGACAACGCGAGGGTTCCGTTTGCTGCCTTTTATCCGATTACAAGACGCAAAGAGAAAGCCTCTAAGAACCGGAGCCCCGCTCGGTGCAGATGGCCGCCTCCGAGCACAAAGATGGAGGGGGAAGTATCTGTTACAGGCGAGGACCTGGCTGGCGGCTGCAGATGTTCGCGGGCCTAAAACGGCTCCATGTGTCCGCACAAAGAAGGCCCCGTTCCCCAGGCCGGAACCCCTGAGCGCAGAAGGTGGGGGGGAGAGGGAAGAGACTCCCCCGGAGGAGCAGCGGGCTGCGCAGACGGGGGGAGACTGAACCCGGGAGGAGGGGAGGGAGATTGACACGCTCTTCAGAATCCGGCTGGCCCGACCAAGGCTCGGGTGTGTCTTCCCTTTTCTTGCCGCTCTCGGGTCCCTTGAGATCAACGGGGCGCCTGTGTGTGTGTGATTTTAAATGGACTGTAAACGTGTGCGCTTTGGCAACTCTCGGCGTCGTTTAATTGTCAATCCCTCCACAAAATTAATTCATTCACCCGTCTGTTATTTTTGTAAACGGACCGCAACGCAGCTTACATGGACGGACCCAGATGGAAAGCTTTGACTGACACATTTAAACCCCAAGTGATAATATTTCCATGGTGCCAAGCGGCATTTGATGGACATCCATTCCGCCAGCTCGAGACTGTATGCGTCTTCCGGCAGAGACCTGTTTCTTTTACGCGTGCCAGGCCGATTCATCGAGTACTATTTACTTTAACGAGAGGACAGGGAAGGAACGGACTGGCCATTGGCCACCGAGCGTGGCAGGCCGGCATTTTCTCAATATGGGCCAACTAACTGAAATAAAATTGACTTAACCCCCTGGAAATATGTCACATTGGAAGAACCGGACTGAAAGGGCGCATCCCCGGACCTGTTACTCCAGAAGAATTCCTATCGTCCGACTAAGAACTGACAAAATAAGCCGCCTGTCCCCACCCTGAGGCTGACGCCCTTTCACCTTCAAACATATTCGATGGGGGTGAGGCGGCATCAGCCCGATTCTGTCCTCAATCTATCCCATGAACAGTCGAACCCCACCCCCACCCCCATGTTCCAGACTGGAAGGACCCCGACGCAGCGCGGTTTTAGGCAGAGTCGCGGTAAGTCCCGGAGAGTTCGAAGGACGGCAGGTGCGCGGGAATCAGCCCCAGCCTCTGGCAGAGCTCCTCCCTCATGAAGGCGTCCGGGTAGTGGGTCTCGTCGAACAGGCGCTCCAGCTCGTTCAGCTGCTCCAGGGTGAAGTTGGTTCGGCTCCGGCGCTGCTTGATCTTCGTCTGGCCCTCGTCTTCCATCACTTTGGCATCCTCTTTGCGATCCTTCAGCTCGGGGGAAACTGGGCCGGAAAGCAGAAGGCGGTCAGAGAGATCATCTCTCTCCCCTCGCCCGCCCAGGGCGAAGGGGGAGGGGGAGGAGGGATCAATGAACGGCGCAAAGGTCACCTCGCTTAACAGTTTCGGGGCTGGCTGGCTGGCTGTCTCCGCTGGCCTTAGCGGATCGCGGGCCAAGCCAGAGGGATCCCCCCTCCAGCCACCCAACCCACCCCACCCTTCGTGAGCCTGGCCAGGCGCAGCATTCCGCAGGGCGGCCTTGGTTCGTTCCCACACCCGGAGACTCCCTCTTACAAAGACCAAAAGCGCCCCAGGGGAACTCGGGTCTACTCAGAATCCTACTCAGGTATATTCAGTGGGGCTTGCTCCCAGGAAAGTGTTCTACGGATTGCACTGCCACTCCTGGACAGGTTTGCAGGGGGATCCCAATGAAGGCCTGTCCAAACGCGATCCTCCGCACAATCCGTTTGTCCTGCTCAGGATCGCGCGGCACCTGTTTCGCGACTGGAGTCCCGGATTTCGAGGGAGCCAACCGAGCCAGGCTTAAGGCCCCGGTTGGAAAGGCGGCCTCGCCGAAGTCGGTGTGCTGAAGCAGCCGGACTGACCGGCGCGGTTTGACCCGAAGTCAGGCCATTGATTCCTGTCTAGAGTTTCCAAACTCTCAGCAGAACGGAGGTCAATTAAAAAAGATGTGCCCTGCCTTCCAAGACGGTCCCTTTCCTTCCGCAGAGGCCGGTTTTTGACAGCTATCCCAGAGATGCTCTCTGCCACAGTCTCCCCACCGGCCTAAGAAATCCGGGATCGTGGCTGGGAGGAGGGAAGGAACCGCCTCCTCGTCGTCCGTCCCCCCCCCCGTCCTGGCTTCCCTGGGAAAGGGGGACCCGAGACGCCCAGAGCGTTCAAGGGCGCCGACTCGCTCCCTGCTGCGCCGGGACCTTCAGGCCTCCGGTTGAGCAGCCAGCACGGCCTCGCACGTCCCCGCGCCAGGTGTGTTTGTGTGGGGGGAGCTGGACAAGCCACGCGGCAGCAGAAGGCCTCTGCCGGCTGCCAACTTTTCTTGGGGGGGGGGAGTTTACTATCTGCCAAACTAGATGCTGGTCGGAGCAACTTTCCCTGGGCCCCGCGTCACAAGTTGGCCGGCAGGCCTCCCTCTTTGGTCCCTTCCTTCCCTCCTCTCCGGGTGCCCTCGCGGTCCCTCCTCGCCGGCTAGACTGCAAATTCCTTGCGGCAGCCGGCAGGGACCCCCTCCCTGCCCCCCCTCGGCGCCCTTTCCGGGCTAGACTGACACCGGCCTGGCTTGGTTTGCTCGCTGTTCTTCTCCAACCACCCCACCACCCCTCACTTCGGACGCAAGCTTGGATTTCGTTCTCTGCGTGTGAACGTGGCGGAGTGACACCATTCTTTGGCCCCGCAGGGGTGCCCTGAAGCCGGCTCGCCCGTCCTCCCTCCCTTCCCCGCACGGATTTGCCCACCGCCCGGAGCCCAGGTCTGCCGCGTGCATTTCTCTCTCTAACCGTAGCCTAGATTGGTTTGGGAAATCACTCCCGGAAGAGGCTCTGGGACCTGCTCGGCACCACTTCGGGGAACAAAAGAGTCGGAACAGACACTCCCTCCCCCGCCTGTGACATCCGCAGTCTCCGACCCAGACGCCGGCGGTATTCAAATGTGCGCCGAGGCCTCCAGGAGCTCTGGAGAAGCAACCAAGGCAAGCCGTCGGGCTGGGGCGGCTTCCCTTCTCTCTTGCCTCCCCTCCTCCCGGTATCGCTCGGTTGGCTTTGACCTCCCAACTGACCACGAGCAAAAGGAGCCTTCCAAGTGTAATACTTGGCTTGCATTTCTAGGCTGCTGGACTGGGAATGTTTTGGTTTCCGATAGAGGTAGGCCATTGGTTAAAAAAGAAAACAGAATTGAAAGCAAACTTTTATCAAGCGTCTGTTGTTTCAAGGGAATACCGGTTTAAACACTTTTTGGGGGGGGGGCGGGGATTCGGTCCCTCCCTTTTCTGGCGCACCATGTTCGATGCTTCCTTCCCCCAGCGATGGAGAACAGCGTTTCAAACTTCGCGTGGCTATTTGAGCCACGCTAAACACAGGCTGTGCGTTCCTTTCTCCTTCCATTGCAGAACAGAAAGGGATGGATGCGGTCGAAATTTATCGTCCGCTTGCATATTTTCAATAGCTAGACCAATGCATGCCGCCTATACTTTTGAAAGAAAGAAAACATAGCTAATTTTTGCGCATAGGACCCCTCCATCAATACCCACTCGTGAGAAGGATTCCGGAACCACGCAAAGTGACGGTCTGCTGGGTTCAACACCTGCGATTTCCCCCGGAATACCCCGAGCCAAACCCTCCCCCTCAGCGTTTGGGTCTGGACGAAATGAACTACAACCTGGGGATTGGGGTTCAATACCCACTCGTGAGAAGGATTCCGGAACCACGCAAAGTGACGGTCTGCTGGGTTCAACACCTGCGATTTCCCCCGGAATACCCCGAGCCAAACCCTCCCCCTCAGCGTTTGGGTCTGGACGAAATGAACTAC